CCCCCCCCCCCCCCCCCCCCCTCCCCGAAGCACCCAAGACGCCCGAGAGACCCCCAGGACCGCCAGGAGACGCCCAAGAGGCCTCCAAGAAGCGCCCAAGAGATATCCCAAGAGGCTCCGACAGGCATCCAAGAGACCTTTGGCCATTTTGCTCGCCCTCCTCCTCCTCCTGCTCATCCGTCTTCCGTCATCCGTCCTCCTCCTTCTCCTCATCCTCCTTCTCTTCCTCCTCCTCCTATTCATCTTCCTTCTCCCCACTCCCTCATCCATCCATCCAGCATCCTCCGTCTCCTCCTTCCTCCTTCGCACGGTTCGGCTGCCCCCCTCCTTGCTCCCGCACTTCCCTGATCACCTCAACTCGCCTGGGCGTTGTTTCTGGATGGGCTGACGGTGATGCGCGAAGCGTCTAGACTTTTGCAACAGCACCGATTGGACATGCAACGAAATCTGTTTGTCCTACCCGTCCCCCCTCGGCGACACTGCATTGCTGCATCCGCCAATGCCTATGCTAGGATAGACTGCTGTGCGCACGCGCATCACAACGCTCACTCCTGCGACTCCAACTGCGGGATATCGCCGCCGCCATCGTCGTCATCGGCGTTGCCGTCGTAGACCGTCCAACCACGTTTGAGAATATCGCCCGTAAGGGTCTCAATCGCTGTCTCAATGTCGGCGAGTTCCATGGTTTTTGGTTTTTGGTACTGCAAGTGCTTGCGCCCGTCTGCATCCTTGCACTGCAGGAATATAGACTTCCTGCGATAATCGAACTTCGCCTCTGGCGTGGGCAATTCAATGCGATCCTCTGGGCGCTTGCGCTTGAGCGGCTTCACAGGCGTTGGCTGCAAGGCCGACGCCGTCGCCACCTTCTGGAGCCAAGTGAGATTCTCCACGGTCAGCTCAACACATGGCACCCTCAATGGCATGAGCTCCACGGTCATCTTCATATTGAAGGTCGCGCCCTCGTTGCAAGTCAAAGCCACGCTGGTAACATAGGGCAAGTCGTCGGGATTCACCGCCATCCTGTTGAAGCCATCTGGGAGAGCGGGTGGCTTCTCGCACGGGTTGCACGCATGCAAGTGGGCAAGTAAGACCTCGTCCACGCGCGTGTTCCTCGCCTTGCGCAAATCCTCCAGGATGCAGCTCTTGCTCCAGTACTTGGCCTTGCCCTCGTGGGATAGGCCGAGTAAGACAGCGAGAGGTCTATCTGTCTGCCTGAGCTCGACGTACGTAGCTCCATCGATCGTCTTGGTGTACTGGGGCACCCACGTGCGGACGTGCTTCATGTCCGCGGCATGATATTGGACCACGGGCTTCGCCTCGATCGTGAACGACATCGGCGCGCGTGAAAACAGCCGCGCGAACCCCCCGCGGCGGCCGAGCGCAACCTCGCTTGATCACTGACGGCTTGTCACTGCAATCGAGCCCGCGCCCAGCCGCAGCGACGAGGCTTGGACCAGCGCTGCCGCTGCCCCCTCCCCCATCCCCCTCTCCCCGCGCGAGCGCATGCGAGCTGTTTTTGTTTCTCCTGCAAGCGCTGAAAGAGAAGAATACGCCATGTGTCCAGAGGACGCCGTGTGTCCTGCAAGCGCTAAAGGAAATCCGCAATAATAATACCATTGTCTCCTTAATCGGCGTGCCGCCCCACCGACCTGAGATCGCGGCACAAGTGTCTAATAAGCTCGGCTCAGCGAGCCACGACTACTGCGTGCGGACCCTCTTCATCGGCGGCGCCTTCGCCGCCTGCGGCTTCAGCGCACGAAGCTGGTCACCCTTTTTGATGGGTTTGGTGTTTTCCAGGAACGGTATTTTCAATGTAAACTTCTCCGCGCCGACCGAGGCGTCAACGGTGTGAAGCTTGATGGCCATGTTAGACTTCTTGGGGTCGGTCACCTCTTTGTCAATGAGCCAGTAGTGCGGCATGAACCCTTCTATCTTCGCCATCTTGTAGCTGCCGCGCGTGTTGTCCGCGATGCCGCCTGGATCATGCTTCTGCAGCTTCATGAAGATGTAAAGCTTCTGCGCGACGCCGTCCGCATTAGTGATCTCCGCGCCGACGTCGATGGCACCGTTTGGAGCTGTATCCGAGAAGGCAACTTTGGTCGAGAAGGGCGGGAAGATCGCGCTGGAGACATCGATGTCAACCTTGGCGTACACGCCGCGGTGCTCCGTGGGCTCCGTCACGATGTCGACCATCTCGCCCGCTGCCCCCTGTAGGTTACCCAATGCATCAAGCGCCGACGTCACGTGACCAACCAACACCATGCGCTGCCAGTCCGAGTTCGAGCGCGGGTCGCACCTGGCACTCCAATCGTTGATGTATTCCTGTTGGGATGGTGGGATGGGTTGCGGGGGTGGTGGGTTTGGGCGGGGCTGGGATGGGCGGTGGGGTTGGGGTAAAGGTGCGGGATGGAGAACAAAAGGAAAAGAGCACGTGGGCTGCGGGTGTGTAAGACAACCAAGCTCCATTGCCAAAATCGTTGCCCCCTCCCCCACCCCCTCCCCCTATAGTATACACGCCGCCCTCCTACGGCTTGCAAGCGTGGAAGGGGGAGAGCGCGGCGTCCTTCTTCGGCTCGCGTTTTGTGATCACCTTGAACTCTTGTGCACGCGGGGTGAGTAGCGATTTCAGGAGGTATGCCGAATCGACTGTGTAGTCGCTCCCATCGCCGATGCTCTGCAGCTTGATCTCATCCTCCTTGACTTCCTGCACCTTGTATACAGTTTTCATCTTGATGACCTCGATGTGGCAATTGGCGCTCACGCCCATACTTGCCAATTTGTGCATCCTGTCGGCGATTCCGCCTACGCTCTGCACTTGTGCAGAAGCCGCAGCTTGCTGCGCGGGAGCTTTGGGCGGGGCTCCTTTCTTCGCCCACGGGGATGTGATCTGCGTGCCTGCAATGGTAGCCAGGTCTTGCACGTGCTCGTAGCCGATGTGGTGAAGCGACTCGAACTTTTGGCTCCTGGGGTCGGGCTTCTTCATGCAATGGTGCACGAGCCTCATGCCGAACCTGTTGATCAACGTCTTCACGGCCGCGTTGTCTTCTGACAGGTTGACAGTTTTTGCGATGTCTATAGCCATCGATTTCATGATGTCTGCCTGCGAGATCATGCGCTGAACTTCCTTGTTACTCGTGAGCTTAAGCCCGAAGCCACCCGATGCAAAGAGGTTCTGAAAGTCGCCCGATGCATACTTGCTGTCGGCGCTCATCATTGCCTTTACGCAATCAATGCGGAAGGGAATGCAGCCCAAACCATCCGAGCCGATCACTGCATCAGCCACCGCCGCCAAGACGGGGCCCTGCACAATGCGCGGCTTCTGGCACGAACGGTTGAAAGCCCGAAGCTCCTTCAAATTCGGTGCGTCTGGTCCACCAGCGAGCTTCCTCGCAAACGTCGCCAAACTCTGGATCTCTGAAACGAAATCTGGATTTCTGGATTGCGCTTTTGTTATTGCCCTACCCCGCGCGACGTCGGGGTTCAAGATGTCGCCCTCCTTTTTATTGGCTTCGAAGTTGGTGACGATCTTCTGCGCGCCCCCGTGCATCTTGAACAAGGTCTCCCACCTAGTCTCATTCATGGAAACCTTCTGCGCAGCATTTCCAGACTCCTGATTGAACGTGGCTAAAGCCAACATAAATGCGGGGGGGGGGGGGCGGGGGCGGGGGCAATCGAAAAGTTAAAGGGTGGGCCATCGATTTCACAAACTCAAGCGGGTCCTGGGGCAAGTCTATAATGGCGCCGAATGCGTCTTCAGCCTGCCAGACAAGCACGTCCCATTCAAACCCCTCCTTCGCAGCATCTGCCAACGTGGGGCGCTTCAACCCGATCTTGTGGATGTCAAGCTTCCCGTCGGTACCGAACTCGACGTTATCTGAATCTGTAGGGCTGCCAAACTGAATGCAGCGGGTCGCCTGGGTCGTGTGCGACTTGCTCACGCTAAGGATTTTGATCTCGCCCTCGTCGTATGGCGGCAAGAAGCCGTGGGATTCCTTGACAAGGTCTCCGTTGAACTCGAGTGCCTCGGCGTGGCGCTGGTGAGATGGGGGTGGCATCTCGATGGCAAAGGGCACGCCCACCTCATCCATGCTGAACCCGTCGCTGCAAAAACTGCGCACCAGCGTGCGCACGTGGGATGGAATTATGCCATCGCCGTACCTGTTCCGCGGGTGCACGGCCACGTAGCGCCCATTCGTTTTCTGGCGCCTCAGCAGACCCTCCTTCCGCAACAATCGCACCGCCTGGTCGCGCAACTGGAGAATCGGGGGGCAATGGCTCAACGTGTACTCCTTGATGATGTCGAAGATCTGCTCCTGGACGCGCTCCACGCGAGCCTGCATGGTCTCACCCGCCATGGCCCAACTGCAATGCGCGAAACGCAAGGCGGGGGCTGCGCTGAACGCAAGCTTGCAAGGGTGCCTGAAACCTTTGTCTGGGCCAGCGGCAGCACAAATGCATGAAACAACTATTGATTTCGCAGCATGCCTCCCACGGCGCCCGCGCAATATTCCAGATCGGGCACCAAGGTTCTCTTAGGGTTTAGGGTTAACGACATTGGCGTCACAAGTGTTTTGGGCGTCCTGTTCAGCGCGCGCGCTGTTATATATATATATATATATATATATATATATATTGATTGAAAATGCATGCCCATACATGGCGTTAGTTTGCGTAACTGCAGTTATGTGGCACTTACGCGCCACTTATGTGGCACTTACGCGCCACTTATGTGGCACTTACGCCACTTACATAAGTAGCTCGTAAGTTACTTACGCTACTTATATAAGTAGGCCGTAAGTACTTATAAGTAGGCCAAAGTACTTATAAGTACTTACGCTACTTATAAGTAGGCTGCCCCTACTTATAAGTAGCTCCTAAGTAACTTAGCTACATATGAGCTACTTACACTACTTATGAGCTACTTACGAGCTACTTACACTACTTATCAGCTACTTACGAGCGACTTAGGAGCTACTTATAATTGGCGTAACTGCATAAGTACTTATAAGTACCCCCGCCGCGCGCAGTTCCAAATTCCCGGATTCCCGGTTATTGGTTCTGGGCCGATTCGGTGGGTTCTGGGTTCCCGGGTTTCCGCGTTCCCGAACGATCTCCTCAGCGAAAAGCATCCACTGATTGGGACTTCTCTCTCGTGTCATTTGACCCATTCAGAATTGCAATGGTGCCATCTCAGATCCCATGGAAACTCAGCGGGATCGAGTGGGAGCTGTGGGAGGTGAGCCATAGCCTGCGAGTGTCACAGCATGCCCGTGAGTGGCTTTCGGGCGCTGCCTCCACGCAGGGGAGGGGAGGGGAGGGGGTTGGGTGGAAACGAGAATTACGCCTTGGAGAACACACCATCAGCCACCTAGTAATGCTCCTTCCGGGGGCAGACCTCGGAGCGTTCTCCGGGGGCCAGGCGGGACCGTGCTCGGGCCGCGAGGCCTGACGGTCCAAAAAGAAGGGACGAAGGCACCATCCGACAAAATCCCCTGTGCCCAACAATATTCACCTCTTGCTAACAGTTGCTGGGCTTGCCTCCCGCTGTGCTGCATGTGTTGACCACCGGCGGCCCGTACGCGCAAACCGAATAACAGCACGCTCGGTTCAAGCATGTTGATGTGTCCATCGTCCCCTCTTAGCGACACCCCGCTAAACTTGACCCTGCCCCAGTGCAAACTACATGGTTTGTCAGACTGCAGCTCTGACCGAAACGCAGCCATAGCGTTATCGGCGGGAGCCACTCGCTGGCTTGCTCTGATAACACAGCGCCTCGACTGACGGGGCATTTGTTGGGTGCCTTGCCCAAACGAAAGCGGATGCGCTTACTGCGTTGCCACCGAATTGGGCTACGCTCAAATTCGATACGAGTTCAACATGTTCGCCCTTTCTGCCTGACGGCCGTCCAAGACGGCCCAAGCAAAAACCAGCACTAAGTCGGGCCTGTCCGTTTACAGGAGGGATCTTCAAAAATAGTTAAAACATAATATGTGGACGATGTTTTGAGCATTTCGTGCATATGTTGAAAATCTTTTGGATCACTTTTATTGTACGCACAAAATCCGCCTGTAGGGGGACACGCCCGACCTAAGACCACTATTGCCCCAAGACGGCCTCCGAATCTGAGGCCCCAGAGGAGCCCAAGCGGCCTCGAAAGCAACCTCTAGAAAGACCCCAACTGCGCGCTCCGAACGATCCGTAATCCAGGGCTGAAGCTAGTTAAACGTTGTTTTTCGTGTTGCTGTTCGTTTTCCTCTGCCTGTTTTCCTGTGCCTCCCTGCCACAACGACAAACAACACACGGCCGAAGTCCATCAAAACAACGTTTAGGTTCAGCCCTGCCGTAACCAGCCTCTCCTCCAAGGCGGCCCTCCGATCCGCAAGAAGCGCTCCAGAAGCGGTGCCCAAGAGGCAGAGAGACGACTACAATCAAGGCCGCGCTAACGGCGATGTTGGTTAACGGCGATGTTGGGAATCCGATGCTTGTGCCACTGAGCTCACGCAGAATAAATTGTAGGAAAGCGCGGGCCACACGTTCCTACATTTCAAATGTGCGAATGTATCGAGCGAAAATAACGCTGCGAATTGTAAGAAAGCACGAACCACGATGTCCTAAAATTGGTTTGGCCGCGATCCAATCCCACCTACAATTCCGAAGCGTACATCGCCGTTACCTACATTGCCGTTAGCGCGTCTACGGTAGAAGCGCCCTGAAAAAAAGGGCCACCAGGAGGATTCCAATAAACGTGCGAGCGGCTTCTGGCGCACGACCACCACGCGAGCTCGACGCGGGCCCCTGCCACCCTGTTGACGCCACCATCGTACAAGCATTGCGTGGCCCATGGTGTTTTTGGAGGCGCTAGAGGGCGAAACATCCACCCCCATAAGAATCACCCCGGCAAGCGAAGCCGTTTAGTATACACACCCACGGAGGGAATCGAACAGCGCAAACCTGTTTAGTAAACGCCCTAGGGCCGTCTGGTAAACGCAAATTGTTCGGTCTGGGTGGTTTTCCCCCCTTGAAGCACGGCGCTTTCATCATATTGTCATCGCTTGGGCCACGGCGGTACCCACTGGCATCAATACGACGCGAACAGTCCCATCGGCTCCAAGTGATCGACGCCGAGCTGGCCCCAAATGGCCTGCAAGCGTCTCTGCAGAAGCGTCGGCGTTCACGGATGAATGCGTCCTGGTGCTGACGAAGGCGGCGGACACAATGATTGGTGCGCCCTGGCCTTCAATCGCTCCCACGGCGCCTTGCCCCCCCCAAACCAAACATGGTGTCGGGATGGGCTCTCGGGAGGAGGAGGAGGAGGAGGAGGAGGAGGAGGAGGAGGAGGAGGAGGAGGAGGAGGAGGAGGAGAAAAAGGGATCATGGATCAGGCCGAGGCGCAACATCCGAATCGGATGAGGGATGGCGGGCAGAGGGAAAAAGTGGAGGGCGCGGGATTCCCGTGCGTCACGGTCCCGCAGCAATCCGCACAAGCCGAGGGCCACTAGGGCGCAGGCCGCGGTGGCAAGCAGCACGACGGCACCAGCCGCTGCCTGCCACCGTGGCCTGCACCACCTAGCGGACCTCGCGACCCGCTAGAGCAGCATCAATGCGCCAGGACTGCACCGAGGCCCTCCCAGCGGGGCCTGGGCAGTCCGCCAAAAAGCCCCTTCCACGCTGGGGCCTCGATGGAGGCGCGGGCGCCGCAGCGGCGGCGCATCGGACAACTTGCCTGCGACCTGCACGCAATGGCCCCGATGCTCGAATGTTTCCAAAGCCTGCACGCGCAGGCCATCATAAGTGAGCCCCAACCCACGACAGGCGTTCAAGACAGCATCACTACGCGCCCTAGGGAGGAGGCCATTGTGACGCTCGGCTCTAACAGCTGCGAGATACGTGGCGCGGCGCGGGCGCACACTTATTGCCAGGCTGCTCAAGCTATGCTCGAGAAAGCGACGTCTTGCCTGAGCAGTGACATCACGCGCACCTCACCCCCCTCGTTTCCGCCACCTCCAGGTCGCGAGAGAGGATGGAAAGCTGAGGCGCCGCCAAGGGGTTACGACAAGGCCTCGCAGACATGGAAAAGGCCCCAGCCTCAGACGCGACAGACTGAGCGACCCGACCCAGAAACCGGCACGTCTTTTTCACGTCCTTCAACTGCGCTTTGAACATGGCGGTGGCTGCGTTGGCAATGGCACGCTGCTTCGCCACCAGCTCAGCAAATAAATCGGCCCACATGTTGCCCAGATAATCGGAAACCGCAGTGTCCACGGTTCGATCCAGACTCGAAGCGCACTGGCCATACAAGAGGGAGTCGAGGTCTCCGCGGGCTGGAGTCAAGCGGGCCCGGGGCCTCTCACTGGGCGGAGCTCCTGTCGGACACAACTGAAACAAATCTCGGCAGATGCGCGCATGCTTGTGACAACCTGTAGCCAGCTCGGCAGACCAGCTCGATGTCTCTTGCACCGCAGAGAGGTGACCGCTGATAATCTCAACTCGTCTCGGGCCGAGGCGGACCGCCTGCAGCAACGCATGCCTTTCGACCCTGGGGGCGGTCTGCATGGCCCCTGGAAAAGGGGCCCGAAACACGCCCGAATGGGCCAGCCCCCATGACTGAGCTCGGCCGCGACCCGCCCGCAGCGGACAGCTTCGGGTAGACCGTTCGAAAGCCCAGAGCCGTCGGTGAACAATTCAAAGCCCCACGGCATGTTCGCGGCACCCCAGAACTGGGGAGAATACTTAGCTGGGACAGGAGCAGTGCTGAGGGGGGGAGGAAAGGGGCGCCGCGCGCCAATCCCAGAGCGTCGAAGTCGGAGGGAATGTCTTTCGCTTTGCCCCGCAGCCAATTCACGTGCTCAATAACGCCGTCTGGAAACAGGGATGCCTCGGCTGGGTCCTCACTGGGTTCCCAAACTCGTTTGCACTCATGCCACTGATGGCAGAATGTGCCGAGAGCATCGCAACCGACTTCGCACTTGGGGCTGGCCACGTAGCCATGCTGATGCTTCTTGGCTGGCGGCCAAAGTTTCCCGCTGACCAGGCCCCGCAGGGCCACTTGCCTAGGAGGGCCCTTGACTGCCAATATCCGTAGCCTGAGCGCGCGTCCCCCCCCTCCCCCAGACAGGTTCATCGCCGCGAGCATAGGGGGTCGCCTCCAAAATCTGCAGCACCTGGGCGCGACTGATGCCCTCGCGCAGACGCTGCTTGACATCCCAGGGGCAAACAATGAACAGGGGCACAAATTAACCCTGGCCCGCCCTGATATGATGGTGAGAAACTAAATCCCACCCAACTCGCCGCAACGATAAAATGACCGCCCCTATAGGACCCTAGGCGCGATCCCAGCGAGGGCGATCACGCGCGCGAGCTCGAGCCGCCGAGCAGGCAATTCGTAAGTCAGAAACGGGCGCCCCCCGATCCCAGACCCAGCATCAA